ATTGGTGCCAGTCCAGGTAAGAATGCAGAGATCTTCACGAGGTCTGGGGGTGGGGCTCCTCCACCTGAAGGAACCTTAGACTCTACAGAATGTTACCAGCCCTCCCAGTCATTCACCCCACCTGCACTCCACAGGTGAAATTTATGGTGACTTTAAAAAGAAAAAACAAAAAAACCCCAAGAGATTGCGGATGAGGACAGGAAGGGGCTGGGGAGGGGGTGCTTTATTGACTTCCCCTTAATTGCTGTAATTAAAAACACGTAAAGAATCTTTTTTAAACGACTTTGCCATTATCATTAGCTGTTGGCACAGCTGCCTTTTTAATTCCTCGTTAGAACCCCATTCACAGTGTCTGTTTGGGGAGGGGGCCTGGGAGAAGCAGGTCAGGGGTGAGGCCTGAGGGGGCCCCCCGCTCTCTGGCAAGGGCAGCAGCCATCAGAAAGCTGGGTGCCTGGAGTCCCACCACCCAAACTTCCAGCACTGGGGGGACAGCCACAGCCAAGAAGGAGGGAGGGATGTGGGGCAAGTGGGCTGTACTGTCCTCGGAATTGTGTGTGTGGTTTGTAGGGTAGGAGGCACAAGGCGAGGGGAGCTGACAGTATAAAATTTAAGGAGATCACACTAAAAAAAAGAAAAGGAGATCACACTCATTTTGAGGAGGTAAGAGAAAGTTTAAGGGGTGCCTGAGAAAGTCACCCCTCAGAGTGTGCACTGGTGGGCCCCTGCCTGCCCTGGAAAGCAGAGGGGGCCCCTGCTTCAGTTAACAATGAGGTGCTAGTGGCCCTCCAAGAAGACAGCTGTCCACTCCCAAGTGTCCCTGGAGGCTGGCTGTGGTCTGACTGCGGGGAGCCACTGTTCTCCTGACAATCTCAAGCCCTCACTCCAAAAAACCCTTAAAAAGCTGCTCAACTCAGAGCTCCACTGGGTTTCTGAGTCTGTGAGTCTTTATGGGATACGATGGCCCATCTGCCTCCCTCCGAGAGGCTGGCGCCTTAGAACCTCTGACCTGCTGGTTAGCGGCCTGACGTGTTACAATTCTTGCATCCCTCTTTATACACGAGACACAGAGAAGTTAGTAACTTGTCCAAAGGTGCCCTGTTAGAAAGGGGTGACCGGAACCTGAGATTAAAGCTGTGAACCCTGGCTGTTCCCTGCTAGTGTCACAACAGCTAAAGAAGGCAGAAGACAAGCTGACTGTGGAAGCTTGGGGGTGTCCTCTGAGCCTCAGTTTCTCATCTGGAGCTGCCACTTCTGGACCTTGGGGATGTCCTCTGACTTGCTCGTGTATGAAGGAAATGCTTTATATACTAATAGAGGCAGTAAATAAACACCAGGGTGGAAATGCACTTTCACGACTACCCTCATTTACAGGGGAGAAAGGTGAGGCACAGTGAGGGGAGGAGACCTGCCCAGTGTCCTCAGCTAGTCAGTGCCTTGGCTTGGGCTGACCCCTGCCAGTTTTGCACGGCAGTGGAGGCCTTGGAGGACAGAGGGGCCTGGGCGCTCTGTGGGTGTGCACCTCTGCTGGGTGCTGCAGACAGGAGGGGTATCCTCCCCGTCGGGGTCATCCTGGTGCAGATAACCACCTGCCCACCAGGTCATCTGGAAGAGGAGTACTCCAGACCACCAGTCCCTCTGATGCATATAAATCCAGACCCCAGAGGGCCATCACTACGTTCCTCTTCCCATCACCTTATTTTTATTATTCTTGCTCTCAAGTGGCTTAGCGGTGAGGGCACCGTTTCAGCATCCTGCAGTCACAGGTTCAAATACTGCTCTGCTACAGCTTCGCAGTGAGGTGGGCATGCTGTACAACCATGCCGAGCCTCAGTTTCCCTGTCTGTAACACTGAGGTGGGCAGGCTGGCTCTGTTGGTTGTGATGGGCACTGAGCTCATAGGTGTGCGGTCCCCGTGCTGAAGTGTAGCAAAGTGTGTTGTCTGGTTGAAATGGTTCTCCAGGTCTCACTCAGACCTCCCAGAAGGCAGGTGGGGAGGGGAACTGGGCAGCGTGTCCCTCAACTTCTAGGCCGAGGGATGCTGAGGGACGAGAAGGGTTTGCTGAGCATGGCTGTGGCTTCTAGGCCCAGCTAGGGTGGACCCCTCATCGTATCTTGCCATCACGGTCAAGCAGGGCTTTTGTGATGTTTCAACAGCTTGTTGGGGTGAGATGGTATGTCAGGGGGCACCAGGACCCTGTGGGGTTCCCTCAACTCCTAATGGTGGGACCTACAAGGCTACCGGCAGGTTTCTGCATCTAACACATGAAAACGGGAATTTGAAGACTTGCAAAGTTCTCTGTGGTTAACCAGGCAGCAGCAGGTGGTCGGGAAGGGGCTCACCTGGGTCTTGCCACCTCTGTTAATCCTTCAGACCCTTAAATCATCCTCGTCCTTTTACAGACCCCACATTAGCACGACTTAGCAACAGCATCATACAATGTGCTGGGGATGCAGTCACTAAGGTGGTGTGACCATGTCAGCATCCCCAGAAGCCCCGGTGTCACGTGCATGCTTCCCAGTAGTGCAATTTGAGAAGCAAAAGGGTCCGGGTGTGAGGGCGGCAGAGGGGTGGTGCAGGGGAGGTGAGGGGTGCCCAGCTCACGGTTCTGCATTCGTTCGGATAGTCTTTATCAGAGACCAGTCTACTGTGTGGCGTGTTCCAGACAGAATGGGGGAAAAAAGGGTAGAACAAAGTTCCTGTTCTTGAAAAATACCCATACAAATTGGTCTAGCTGAGACCCCAGGACCCCCCGCGACCACCACCTCAAGACGCTCTTTAAACTTTGGCCTGGAACTACCTTGACATTGCCTTTGAATGAAGTAGCCAAAGCCAACAATTACCCCAAGTAAAGCTAAGAAGGTAAGGCGACAGGGAAACTAGATTACTGGAAACGGAACAAGCAGGACACAAGTCTAGCGAATGCTGACACGTGGTGAAAATGTAACATCACCCAACAATTCCTGTGGAATGTCAAAGGGGACCTGTGTAAACTTTCCCAAAAACCCAATAAAACATATTACACACACACACGCGCGCGCGCGCACAGTCTTTCGTAGCATAGTGGGTTATGTGTTGGACTGCTAATCGAAAGGTCCACCAGCCATTCCATGGACTGAGGATGAATCAGTTTAACCCCAGGAACCCAACGGTGGGTTGCTAAAAGCCGTAACTGACTGGAGACAGTGGGCTTGGTATAGATATGTAAGTGTGTGTATCTTTATCTTTATCTAAATGTATGGTGTTGTTGTTAAGTGCTGTCAAGTCATAGGCGACTCATAGCGACCTTATGAATGAAAGACCTAACACTTGTATAACTTTCATCGTTTCTCCAGGTTCATAGAGTTTCCAGAGGCAAGCTATTACAGAAGTGGATGCCACTCCTGCTTCCAAGCTTGTTTTAATTGGGTGTTCCACCAAACATTGTCCACCACGGGTAACCATTCTCGCATTTGACACATCAGTGTCTCAGTGTTCATCTTCACAGCCGCCATGAGTTACCTCCGTACAGCAAGTGAACTATGTATAGACTATTTGAATATGCATATATGTTGTTGTTATGAACCGTCGCATCAAAACCGACTCATGGCTGACCCGCCAGTGGTTTTTCAGAGGCAATAAATTGCACAGAAGGAGATTTTCCATCTCTTTATCTCTTTCCCACGCAGCAACTGGTGGATTTGAACCCCTGTGCCTGTGGGTTGGCTATGCAGCTCTGTGCGCACTAGCCCACCGAGTTCCCTTACACACACACACACACACACACACACACACACACACACACACACACAGTTTTTCACCACAACAATGGCGTGAGGGCCACCGTGTGCTGGAGCTCAGGTGCCAGTGGGCCAGGTTTGGCCTTGGCTGTGCGTGGACATCTGTCATCTCAATGAAGGCAGGTGCCCGGCCAGGCCAGGAGGCGGTGGGAGTGGACACACTGTGTGGATGGATGGCTCTGACCTGGTGAGTCCACCCTGGCCCTCCCCAGCCTGGTAGGACTCCACACCGCCAAAACGCGGCTCCATCTGTGCCCACAGCCGCCCGCCATCCATCATTTCAATCCCGGCTTTCCTGCTCCATGGAGAACAGCGAGCTGCCTTTAGTCCTGATTTATGGGGACAATTTGTCCTCCACTTTTGATTACGGCTGTTTTCCATAATTATTACAAACACTCTCTGCCTCACTTGAGGTTTTCTTTTAGCTCTTTATCCTCAACTTCTTTCTGTGGAGCCAGCTCCCTGGTGCTAAATGAGAGGCTAGACTGCAGGTTCTGGAGGAGAGAGGCCTCTGGTTGTCAATTTCAGGGTTCGCCATGGCTTCCCACACTCTCATGTCCTGAGATACTATTTTAGACTCCCTCAAAAGCACCCCAAGAAGGGATCACACATAATGAACCCTACTTCTCACACAGAGCAGATATTTTATGATGGGGGCAGGAAGGAGGTATTGGAGCCAGGGGGGGGGTACTGATGGGTATCTGGGGCCCTGGTCTTTGAGACTTGGGTTCTCTAAAGCTGCCCAGCCCCTCTGAGGGAACCTTTTGGGGTCTCGGGAGATGGATGTTCACTCTATGACTCAGTGAGGACTCATCATTTTACCTCTGGCCCCTTCCTCTTGGGGACCTGACTTGTCACTTTCTCTGAGTTACGGTACCACCAGGAGACGTTTCCCAAGGTCCCTGAAGACCAGGGCCCCCGTGCTGTAACTGCTTCAGTGCTGAGCCCATTGGAGGATGGGAACGTTGAGGACATGGGGCCCTGGGATGTTTCTAAGCAGAGTGTTGCCGCAATAGCTGGCCATTAGGGAATCCCCAAGTGTAGGGAGGACCCCAGAGCAGGTAGGCCCCTTGAAGAAACAAAGTGGCTGGTTCCACTCAAAGAACACTGAGCTCAGAGCCAGAGGGCATGGGTGTCACTGATTGTGCAATGACCTTGGACTCATCAACTGTAAAAGGAGCGTGGCCAGTGGGCGAGAGCCAGCGGGCTGCCGAGATACTCACAGGCCACCTGGACCTCAGTCTGCCGCTGCAGCAGGGCGCCCATCCTGTTCCGGACGATGCAGCGGTAAAAGCCGGCGTGCGTGCGGTCCAGGCTGGTGATCATGTATCTGTGGGCAGAAGAGACAGCCGTGAGTTTGTGGAAGGGATGCAGGAGGGGGACAGACAGAGGTCCATCATTATGTCACCTGCTTTCAGGATGGACAGCACCAGGGACCATGGCGTGGAGTTCCAGAAAGGCCTTTACCCTAGAAGGATCCCCTGAAGGCGGGGAGGCCTTCGCCCACCCTGGGAAGGCGCTGTGTCTGAGCTCCCCAGGCCAGGCTGTGCCAGGTTCACTGGGGGCTGCTGCCCACCCTGCCCACGACGTGGCCACACCATCAGCTGCCACGCTGACTGTACTCACACGCTTCTTCATCTCACACAGAAGCTCCCAGACTAGGGAGACGATGGATCAGTAAAACGTGAAAGAATGGGGACCGACAGAAGATGGTCAGATTTTTATTTTTTCTCATCCAAGATCATTAAAATCAACCAAGCAAAAAAAGAGAAAGAGGAGAAACAATTCCGAAAGTGCCAGAGAGAAAAATAAACAGCAATAATCCGCACGACCCTTCGGTAGAGCGTTCTGCACCCACAGGAGGCAGCTCAGGCGTAGCTTCAAGACGTCGCCAGATCTGAAACTTAAATACATGAAGAGCCGGCTATGCTAGTCTCACTTTTCCCCTCATTTTAGATGAACAAGTGACAATATTGCCAGAAGCCAGCATCTGAGAGGCTGAGATTAAATCTGTACAGTAATTTACGAAGTCCCTGGGTGGCACAAACTGTGCTCTATTATGAACAGGAACACTGGGAGTTCAAATCCTCCGGCTGGTAGCATGGAAGAAAGGCCTGGTTATCTGCGCCCATGAAGATCAGTCACGAAAACTCCATGGAGCAATCCTACTCTTAAGTGCGCATGGTCCCTACAAATCCTAATTTGCCGCATGACAACAGGCTTGGCTTTAATCCGAGGGAGCTGCTGGTTTTCTTTTAATTCTGTTTTGGGGGGGAGGAAATGGAGGTTCTGAGAGATCCTATCAGGCAGCCTGGGGTTTCAAGAGGAGTAAGAGGTTCAACCAGAGGCTGTAGGCTGCCCAGCAGTGTAGCCCCAAGATCCAAGCTGGAGTTCTGCTGCCCCTCCAGGGGATGCGCTCCCCCCAGCTTCACAAGATGCGTGTGCCAAGCGTGTACAGCATTTCCCAGAATCCTCTGGCTGCCGGAGCCCTTATCTCTGTCACCGGCTGCAGCTCTTATCTGTCCAGTGCACCGGTGCAGAGAGTGGAGATGGAGAGCAGCAGGTCCCCCTGCTCTGGAAATTTCCTTTCCCACACCCCATCTTTGACTCCGACACCCATCTCCTCCACCCCTCCCTCCATCCATCCCAAGGAGGGACAGTTTGGGGAGACTGGTTTGAGTCTCCGAAGCAGCGGTATGGTGACCAGAGAGTGGAGATGGAAGGAGCTGGGGCTGACAAACCCTCTACTCTTAGAAATGGGATCTGGTATGAAAATGCACAGGAGAGAGGACAGAGACAGAAACGGCCAATGAACTCATGAGAAGGTGCTCACCCTCGGTGCCAGCGATGGATTAGCCGGCAAGCAGGATACACCCCGGCTTCCAGCGAGCGAGGCACACGCCGGCTGGATCACACTCACCTACTGATCTGTAGTGCACAGCCTCGCAGGAGTTCCACGACATCCAAACCTGCTCTGTCCCTATCTATGTATAACTGTCCTTCCTACCCACCCAGCCATCTAGTAATCAATCAATCCATCGAGTGTCTGACTAGTTATCTAGCTGGCTTTCAAATTTATCAATTCTATTTATTTCTCTATCACTCAGTTAAGTTAGCTAACTAGCTATCAAATCCATCAATTCTATCTATCAATCCATTATCTATCTATCCATCTATCCATCCATCTATTAACTATCACTTATCTAACGTATATCTATCTATCTATCTATCTATCTATCTATCTATCTATCTATCTATCTATCTCTATCATCTATTATCTAACATCTATCATCTATTCTCTAACATCTATCATCTATTATCTAACATCTAACATATATCATCTATCTATCTATCACCTACCTACCTACCTACCTATTATCTTCTATCTATCTATCTATCTATCTATCTATCTATCATCTAACATCTATTGATCTAGCTACCTACCTACCTACCTACCTACCTACCTACCTACCTACCTACCTATTATCTATCTATCTATCTTCCCACTAGTTAGCTAGCTAGCTCTCATATTTATCACCTATCATCCAGCTTGTTAGCATAGGTTTCAATCCTATCTATATTTATTTCTCTGACTATAATGGAAATAAATACACACGATTCCAAAACCAACAAGGAGGCGGTTGAGGGAAGGAGCACACAGCTAAGCCTCTCCTGTCTCAAGCTGTGCTCTAGAAATTAGTCAGTAAGCACGATTAAGCATGTGCATACCTTGCTTCTTGGGCAATCACTCCATCCCTGGCTGTGTCCCCATGAAAGAAATCCTAATCAAATCAGAGCCAAGACACAGTACCATGTGTCAGACTGCCAGAGGTGTCCAGTGTGATGGGATCCAGGGTTGGCAAGAGTGAGTGGGACGAGAAGGCACACCGTGGGGTCTATAGGTAGAGGCATAAACGGATCTAGACTTTGGAGCAGAATCTTTCAGGCTTAAACTATGCATGCCCTTTGACCCAGAATGGGCACTCCTGGGAGCTGGCCTTTTGGAGATGCTCGCAAAAATGTAACACAGAATATGCATGGGAGGGTCTCCGTAGCACTGCTTGTACTAGAGAACTAATAAACAAGCAGGCACGGGAGCAACTTACACGTCCATCAAAAAGGAGCTGATCAATACATGCTTCTGCAGCTGCAGAAGGCACCAGAACACCTGTGAAGGCTCAAATGGAAGATCTCTGAGATAATGGAAAGAAAGTCAAGGTCAGAGAGGGGTCATGTCCATAAAAACAGGGGGTGAGGAAAGGCCACCCGCTTCACAGCTGATCGTCAGGGCAAGGAGAGCACACGCTGGGTGCGGCTGTGGCTAGCTGCCAGTGCGCTGGCCCTGGACGCCTCGCCACACCACACACACAGACAGCAAGGGCTGCCATGCCTTCACCATCACCACGGCCAACGGCAAATCAGACCACTGCCAAAGGCGTTGCACTGGCTGCATTTCAGAAGTAGATCTCCAGGCCTTTCTTCCTTGTTGTTGTTGTTGTTATGTGCCGTCGAGTTGTTTGCGACTCATAGCGACCCTATGTACAACAGCCCTAAATCCTGCTCTATCCTGTGCCAATCTCATTGTCTCTGACAGACCCATCCCGATTACCCCAGTCAC